CTTTTCCCGATTCAGTTTAATGGCAGCTCCCAAAGTCCTGACACGCACAACGTGACTCCTGGCCCAAACAACAATCTTTCCCGAGGAGCCGAGGATGGCAGCGCTCCAGAGATGATTTATTATTTCCCTTACTTTGCAAACTGCTCTTGGTGTGCGTCAGGAGGGTGAATGAAGGTTACTACCAGCCCGAGTGGTTTTGCCGTGCAGAAATCAGAGCGCTGCTCTGGCGGTGCTGGCAGCGAGTCGGGGCTCAGCCCAGCTTGGCACCATGGCCCCCACGTGCCATGGCTCTGCTTGCACCCCGTGCCCTCTCCTGGCCACTCTGAACACCAGTAACGAGAGAAAACACAATAAATGAGCAGAAAGAGACTGATTCTTGCAGGGCGGTTGCTCAGGCACCCGCTTGCTCGTTTCCCTCTGATCCACATTTGGCAAAGCTGAGCCAAGACAAACCAGAACAGACCCTACCCCCAAATCCCTGCTCTCTACACACCTGGCTAATCAACCCTCTCAGAAATTCCAGCTCTTGCTCCAATCAGGCTGCTGACATAACCAGGCCAGCAGGGCTGTTTAATCGACTTTCCCGCGTTAACCTGGTTCCTTAAATGAATTCTGCAGACAGGCCTGTGTTGTCCAAGTGCACTGAGCTGTGTCTCTCAGACTCACTGACAGAGCAGCCGACCCTGAAAGGGGGATAGTGCTCTCAAAGCCATTATGGTCTTGCAAATTGTAAGGGTGACCGTCAGCCAGAGAGCTTCTCCACAGAGCACCTGAGGCTGCGGGAGCCCAGCCTTTCCAGGCCAGAGCACCCTGTATCCCTCAGGACAGACCAAACCCAGCACCAGCCTGCTCCCCATGCTCTGCTGCTGCTGCTTCCTTGGCAAAAGTGGCCCGAAGGTCTTGGTGACAATTCCCTCCAGGAATATTCCCTCCTTAAGGCACCTTCCAGTGCCTGAAGGAGCTCCAAGACAGCTCATTTGAACGAGCTGAAATTTAAATGCAGGACAATTTACATGGGGATGGACTGACAGGGCAAGGGAAAAGGCTGCCAGAGGGCAAGGCTGGACAGGATATTGGGAATTAGGGATTGTTCCCTTCGAGAGTGGGCAGCCCTGGCACAGACGGGCTGTGGCTGCCCCTGGATCCCCGGCAGTGCCCGAGGCCAGGCTGGACAGGGCTGGGAGCAGCTGGGGCAGGGAAGGTGGCCCTGCCATGGCACTGGATGGGCTTTGAGGTCCCTTCCAAGCCATTCCAGGGCTCTCCTCCCTGTCAGCCTGGTTGCCGTGCCCGCAGGGCTGCAGGAGGATGTGGCACTCAGCTTTTCACAGCTACAGTCTGATGCCTCTGCTGCAGGCCACAGACACTGCCTGGGAGTCTGAAACGTACTGCTGCTGTCAGATGGGATGAAAACAGCTGTAAAAAGCTTGGAAAAACACTTTCTTTGGGCAAAACTGGCGTGGGGTTTAGTGGGGTGACAGAGGTTTTGTGTTTGTGCTGTGCATGAGGGGAAGCAGCAGAACCTGAGGCTTCCCCATCCATACTGCTCCCTAAAAGTGAATTAAACTGAATATTGGGTGAGGCTAGGAGCAACCTGGGCTTGTGGGAAGTGTCCTGGGGTTGGAATGAGCTGGGCTTTGAGGTCCCTTCCCACCCCAACCATTCTGTGATTCCATGAAAACCAATGCACTGTACCAGGGGAACCAAAGTCACTCCAATTAACACATTTCTGTAGAGATGTAAAGCCATTGCCTATTGAATTAGCGCCCAGTGGCTGCACACTGAATTAGCTGAAGGCCAGGACAGGGATGTGGTGTGGGATGGGCTTGGCACTGCTGCTCTGCTGCTCTTGCATTCCCGAACTGGGGGCTCACGAAGGGTCTGGCAAAGCCAGAGCTCAGAGCACTGGGGCTCGCGAGAGGGACGAGAGAGAAGATGGGGAGCTGTTGGCCTCTTGAGAAAAATGTTTCTGCATGAATTGGAGAGTTGATTTTGAATTAATTTTGAATAGTTGTTTCAGTAATTCAGATTGATTTAAGGTGCACCCAAGAATAATGCTTTCATTATAAAGCCTCCTGAGCAAAATTTAAATTGTGTTGAATTAAAAACAGCCTCTGTTAAACCAGGGCTGATGAGCACAGCAGAGGGATCGGAGATGCAGGGTCAGTATAATTTAATTCCTTTGCTTTGATTCCCGCTCCAGAAAAGCTGCTGTACCTGTTTCCCTGGGTTGTTAACTGCCTAAGGAGCCTGCAACCCATCCTGGATTTCTCTAAACTAATTTGCGTGGCAACCCCACCAAAACCAGTGGTTATTTATTGATGCTGGGCTTCACCTTCAAGAAAAAATGGATTTCTATTGCCTTTTATTTGTGACTCAGTCTGGAAATGTGACTGTGTCCCAAAGATACCTGGGAATCAGGGAGAGCACTGATGCACAGTACGGTGGGAGGGTTAATGGTCTCCTACTGTTGGCTCTGTTTGTTTCTTTGTTGTAGGCAAACTTTGGTTTTGCACAAATGGAGCTTATCTTAGTACCAGGGAGAAAGTTACCCTGCACCTTCCAGATCACTCCTCTAAGGCACTCTGTCAAAGCAGTGCTGGGATTCCAGCCTCAGGGAAACCTTCACTTACCTGGATTTAAATGTATCGGTGGTGAAAACAAACAAACAAACAAAATATGTTTTGAGTTAAAAACTGTTGTGCTTCATAGTTTCTTGTTTTAAATGTTGGCTGAATTATTAAGGGTAAAAGGCAGGAAATATTTAGGATCTCTATAAAAGCCCTGAGTGCTGCTGAAATCCAAGCAGTGAAGTAGCCAGCACTGAGGAGGGCAAGTCTGATGGATTGGGGAGCACGTTAGAGACCTTGGCTGCATTTTCTGCAGGAGGAATTGCCAGGACTCTCATTAGTAACAAGATCCTTCCAAACAGATTGAAAAGACTTCTGAAGAGAGATGTATATGAAATATTGTCTGAAAGTGCCAGTTTGCCAGAACTGGAAGGATTTTTGGGGAGCTGAAGGGGGCCAGGAGGGTTAGCCTTGGATGGTGAACTCCCCCAGAAGGGTTAACCCCCACCTCACACAGGGGGAGTCAGGAAGGTGGAAACAACCTAAAAGTCCCAAATCAGTAACAGCAGAAGCCTCAGTTTTACGACTTGACACCATTTTATAGGTCCCTTCCCAGTGAAGACTCACAAAGCCATGTTTAAATGTCTAATTTCTTAAATCCATGTCAGCTCGTTTTCAGCACTTGTTCCTCTGTGATTTCTGTGATTATAACAAAGTGAGAACATTCTGAGGTCCTTGGGAGCACTGGGTCTGTCCCTGCGTTCAGAAAGGCAGGGAAGGGACCCAAACCGAGCCCCAGCTGCTCTCCAGAACATTCTGCACATCCTGGGGCCGTTCCCAGCCCACAGAGGCTGGCCCCTGGCCCCGGGGCTCCTGTCACAAAGATGTGACAGCACAAGTGCGGATGGGTGCAGGCTGTGTCCCTGCACGGAGGGTGTGATCGCTGTCAGACGGGAATCTGGAAACAGAGCTGGCCTTGCACACATCTCCCCTTGTGCAGGGACACGCCAAGGAGCACCCAGGGCAGGTGTCCCTCTGAACTGACCAGACACCGTGGTGGCGACAGGAGGGGGAACTGACCAAGACGGAGCACTCAGAACGTGGAGAGCTGAGCTACAGCGTGGGGCAGGGCTGGGATGCAAAGCCCAGCCTTGATTTCTGAGTTTCACCTTTCCCAGGGGAAGGAACAGCTTTTGCCATAAACTTGTAAACTTTGCTTAGCTATTAAAAAGGAAGAATAAGAGGTCTTTAGGTGACTATGACAAACAGGCTCTACATTTGCACTTAATGAAGAAATTCAGACTTTCAGTTGTTATATGCCCAGATTCGGCACCTTTCTGACAGCTGAATTATGATTTTAATAATTTAAAAGTGCTACTGTGAGCCTGCTCATGTATAATAGGCACAGAGAAGTGTTTAAAATCAAAAGCAGTTTAGAGAAAAAGCAGTCACTACATTACAAGGAGGAGAATTGTCTACATCTGAGTATTAAACTGAGTGTGAACTCTCCAGTGGGAAAACTCTTTGCAAAGTGACTCTAGATTTCCTGCACCGTTGTGATTTGTGGGATGAGGGGATTGCACTCGATCCTGGCTCTGTGCGTGCCCGAAGCAGCAGCCTGCAATGCCCACTTTCCTCTACACAACCTTGTCAGGGTGAGGGTTTGGCCATTCTGCTCCCAGAGGTTTTAGTTCAGAGCAGCAGAAGTGCAAATCTATAATCTCAGTCACAACATCTGTGAGACAGAAATGAAATATAAGGGGGGAAAGAGCCCTCCAGGCTACATTCCCCTAGCTTTGATTTCATTATCTTTGTACCTGTCCATGGGAATGCTTGAAATTCTACTGCAACCACCACAGCACGCTCGGGTCTCAAACTCACAGCGAAACACAGACAAGAAGCCTCCATCCTGCCCAGTTAAGTAAAACCCAGATCACATCCCGGCCATCACTGAGTATTTCAGCACAGTGACCCACAACATCCACTTGAATTCAGCAAATCTGTAGCTCCTGGAAAGTCAAGGGGAGAACCACCGGCTGACATTGCAACGAGACACAACAGACACATCAGCAGCTTTTGTGAGACGCATGGCTGGAGCCAATGTCAGAGAGAGCAGAGCTCTCCCTCACAGCCCCTTGCGCTCGGGTCGGCTTTTCCCTCCTGCAGGAATGAATCCTCCTGCTACTCCACCGCTCTGCTCCTCCTGCACTCGTTTACCGTGCTGCCGAGCATTTGTCAAGTGGGTGTAAGTGCTTTTTCTGCTTTATACAACTGCACACAAATTGCAGAAGTTGTAAGCCAAAGAATAATCCAGCCCCGAACACTTCCAGCCCCTTCTTGAACATGCACCCAGGAAAAGGCTGAGGAGGAGCTGAAGTCAAGCTCCCAGTACACGCTCGCCTGCTGCTCAGGAAAAGGAAAAGTAATACTCACCCCAGCGTTGTCATGGTTACAATAGTGTACCAAAAGGAAGCAGGAATACTGGTAAATTTGCTTGCCGAGGACCCTTTCTCCGCATAAAACATCACAGTTGCAAAGATGATGATTGCCATAGTGAGGGAAAAGAGGAGAAAGCCAAGCTCGGAGGCACAGCTCTTCAAAGTGTAGCCCAAGATTCTCAGGCCTTGGGAATGGCGGGAGAACTTGAAAATCCTGAAAACCCTGAAAACCCTTAGCGTGACAAAGGCTCCGCTGACGTCCTCATTGTTGGTCATCACCAGGCCGATGTAGTAGGGCATGATGGCCACCACGTCGATGATGCTCATCACGCTGCGGATGAAGCGGTAGCGGCTCGGCGCCGCGAAGAGCCTCAGCAGGTACTCGACGGTGAAGATCATCACGCACGCCGTGTCGAGGCAGAAGAAAGCCACGGCGTAGCGCTCCCCGCAGGGCAGCTCCTTGCTCCCCGGCACGGTGCCGCAGGGCACGGTTTCCACCACGTTGGTGATCACAGAGACGGCGATAAAGAACCCGGTGACGTAGTAAAAGACTAAGGCTAAGGTGCTGGTGTGGGGGTTCTCGAAGGCTCGCCACATGGTCTGCCGGAAGCTCAGCGAGGGCATGGAGCCCTCCTGGTTGTTCTCCGAGTCGTTGTCATCCATCAGCCGCTCCGCGTTCTCCCGCTTCCTGTCCTTGTACTCTTCGTAGCAGCAGTCCCCGATGATCTCGGGGAGGATCCCGTAGAAGGCGAGCTCTTCGTCGTAGGCAGAGATGCACTCGTACCTGGGGTAGTGCAGCTTGCCCGTTCTGTAAAAATTGAGGATGCACTTGAAGACCTCGGGGTCCCGGTCAAAGAAGTACTCCTTGGTGTCTTCGTTGAAGAAGAACTCCTTCTCCGTGCTGCCCAGGAGAGTGTCCGGGTACCTCTCCAGTGTAGTCCTCCAGGTCTGGAAACGCCTGCCACTCACATTGAGGATGATCAGCTCATCCTGCCTCTTGTTCTTCTCCGTTGGAGCCAGTGGCATGGGGCAGTTGGCCACTGGCATCCATCCTATGGCAGCCGCCCTGGCGAAGGGCAGCCACGCCGCCACTCCTGCTGCCATGACGAGCCCGGGCCGCCTTACTGGAGACGAGGCTTGGGGTGCTGCTGGGACCTGCTGGGAGTCAGGGCAGTTCCATCTGGAACACAGAGAGAAGAGAACACAGCGCACAGTCACGCGGGGCGTCCTGCCCCGCTGGGTGGAAGAGCAGCACAGACACCAGAACTTCCAACCACCGGCTCGCCCTCACCTCCCAGGTGAAGAATGATGCTGAACAAGGCACGTGATAATCAGCTCAGCGGGGTTATGGCATTATTATAGATTGAAATTTTGAATAGCAAATGATTCCTCATTAAAAGCATTTTAAAAGTAGCATAAACACAGTAATTTATATTTGCTTCCTCGCAAACAAGACTAATCCATAATTCCCCAGGTGTAAGCCTCCTGTGCTCATCAGTTTAACTACAGCTGTCAAGAAAGAGCTGGGAACTCCAGTGAAATCAGCCTGCAGTGGAATCATACACCACAAAAACCCACGACTGGGCTTAACTGCGTTTCCAGTCCTAAACAAGTTCAGTATGTTCTAAATCTTGCACTAAGAACGTCTTTAGTTGAAAGAAATTGAATTTTTTCTCTGTTTTTCAGCAGTTCTCGTCCATCTTTAATGCATGGCCTGGCCCCAGCAGCAGTTTTCTGCTGCTCTCTTTCATTTAGAGGTGGGGTTTACTCCTGCCAAGTATTGCAGCCCTCCACTGGACCAGAGGAAAATTCTGATTTTTGGGGAAATATTGTTCAGAATACCCGAGCACCATTAAGCTTCAATCCCGGGTGTGAGGGCTGATGGATTAAGCTGCCAAATAGCAAGAACATCAGAATGAAGGAAGGCCCCAAAGCTGGAGAATTTCTTCCCAGCAGGAAGATGCTTTGCTTGTTTCCTGGCTAACAGGTGCAGAATCCTTCAGCTGAAGGACTGAAGGACTCCTAGGCTGAAACAAAATACATTCACGGCATTCTTGGAGTTTTATATGAGGAATATCCCAAGTTGTCCAGATCCTCAGCACCAATATCTCTTGAAGTTTGAGTGGTTTTTGTGTTCTGATCTAGCCATGAATTTGTTTTATCTTTTTGATCTTTGGTCAGTTTTTACAGTCTTTAACTTTTGTTTTAACTTGCTTTTACTTTCACTTCCCTAGTGCTTTTCTAATTCTACCACAAAATTATCTGAAGAAAGGTGCCATTATCATATAAGATGCATTAGGAGCCCTATCAAAAGTCAATTTATCAATGGAAATTCTATTGATTCCACTGACTCAGGCCCTCAAAGCCTAATTGTATCATTGTAGGCAGTTTTATTCCAAAGTTTTTAACTTACATGAGAGCTGCCATTCCAGCCAGTAAGGCTGCAGCATTATTGATTCTGATGGGCCATCAAAATACTGAATAAAAAATGATGGAATGAGTCTGTGGTGAAAATGCCTGAAGTGCTCACAGAAATGCTCTTCCTCTTCAGGGCAAATTAACATTCATCACCTTAATGTGGAGCATCTTCCTATGCAATTTTACTATCTGAAGGACAATTGAAATCCCTCGTGCGAGCATCTTTCTGCTGCTGAAGAGCTTTTGTAATTACGGAACATATAATAACCCATGGTGAGGCTTATCCCAAGGAGACACTTTGCTTATCTACACGGCACTGGAGCAAACATCCCACAGTATTTCCCTCTGAAGAGTTGCTCAGTGGTACAAAGCACCGCTTTTTCTCTCCCCCAAAGAGGGAATTTACTGCCTGGCCACCCTGGGGACCAGGCTCTGCCGTCTGAGAGGCAGAGCTCAGCGCTGGGAACCTTCTCAGCGTGACTGTGGAAAGCTCCCTCAGGTGGAAGAGCATCTCCAGGGGCTCTGACTGCACCCTTCTACCACCGGTGGTGGATCTTTTGACTTTCATGAAACACTTAAGAACAGGAGGCAGCAAAATAAAAATTATTTTATCCATTACTCACCAAATATATACAGGCAAATAATCGAGAAACCAAGAAAAGGCATCTTGTTCCTGCTTTCCCTGCTGGCAAACTGTCTTCCCTGAGTTTTAATTTCACTTAGCACCATCACCAGCGTCCTTCTGCCAGGACTGACTGGTGACCTGACCAGTTTCAGCACACTGGATCCTCATCTCCCCTGATTTCTCAGGGGAACCACATTAGAAATCTTTTCTGTACTTTCATAACTTTGGTTGTAGATTCCAGGTTACCTACATTAGCTCTGAGGCACTATAAATACTTCACATATAATTGTTCCAATAAAGCACTGGTAACTTGTAAGTGACTTACACATTTTTAAATCAATTTTTAAAAGATAAAATGGGTCCTTTCTTGCTGGCAGTGTATGTGGGGAAGCTATAAATATCTCAGCTATGAAAGGGACAGGAGATTAAAGCCAAAGAGAAAGAAAGGGAAATTCTGTGGGAGTTTAGTTCCCATTTCTGTTGGTCCAAGGGATGAAGCTGGTTAGAACAGAGCGCTCCCAGCTTCATTCTCAGAGTTACATTGAATCTGCCCCATTTGATCCTCAGAATACACAGAAGAGGAGCCTTTCTCAGCTGTAAATTATCTGAAGGACCACGAGTGAGAAGTGAAATCCCCTTTTGCAGAGGTTTTGCTTTTTCCTGTCCATGAGTCCTTGGAACTCTACTAGTCCCTGAAGGAAGTGAAAGAAAACTGGGAGAGGGGGGACTGGATTTATAATTCTGACCTGCACAACCTAAGCTGAGTCAAAAAAGATGAAGTAACCAGTTTGTCTAGAATCTAGAATTCCAGAATGTAGAAAGAATCCCCCTTTTCTGCCTGCTTGGATTTTGGTAACTGCTAACCAGCCTGTTTAGGCTGGAAAGCAATTGGCTGGACTCAAAATCGAATGTACTGTTGACAGTGTCTGGAGCTCTCATAGAAAACAGACACACTCTAATTCTAACAAGCATATATTTAGCTATATCCATATTTCTAATTTTAATTACCATAATTTCTGCATGTAATTTAAAAAGAACCGGTTCGCAGCAGACCGGCACCCTGCTGATGACATTTAGAAGACCTGCTACACAAAATAGAATCATTTGCCTCCTGACTGAAAAAAGTATCTGTGGAGGAAAGAATCTGCTTTCTTTAGATAACTATGGGGACAATGAAAGAGTCAAGCAAATTGCAGAGGAAAGGCTGAGCACGAGCCGCTGTCCCCTCGCAGCACTCCTGACCCCACTGGGTCCCTCCCGACCTGTGCTGGAGCTGCAGCCGCTTTGGGGGCACCGTGGCCTCCCCCCAAACCCACCCTGACAGCCAAGGCTGCCCAGGACAGCCCAGGAGGGAGCCTGGCAGAGAACAGTAATGACTGCTCACCCAAAGGGGCCAGAAACAGAGCAGGGATTCTTACCACTGCAGCTCCCATGGCAATGCCACACCGATCAATGCCTCTTCACCATCTCAAGAGAGCAGAGACAAACCAAAAATCTCAGTGTTTCCCTTTCTAGAAGCAGCCAGGGCTGTTCTGAAATCGGACCGATAAACGTACTGCAAGTTTCTTGATGAGACACTGCTAATGGGAGAGAAGAGCCTGGAGATCCTTCCTTCTTCCCTCTCCTGTCCTTGTTGGGTCAGGCTCAGGCAGCAAAGAGACCTTTGCTTTGAAGCAAAATATGTCAGCCAAAGCCTCGGTGTCTTCTGTCAGTCACACATTCCTTCCCCTTCGCAGCAACACCAGAAAATAAAACTTTCTGCAGAAAACTCACTCCCTCAGTCTGCTGAGGAGATTTAGGAGCAAAAGCAACAGGCTTAGGATAAACGCATGCAAAGTTCTCCCCTCCCTCGCTCCCAGCCAGCCCCAGAGCCCCATCTTGCCGGCTCGCAGCGCTGCCTTACCTGGAAGGGAAGGACACCCGACGCCCAGAAGCAGGGCTAAATCTGGGGAACGGGGAGGAAGGGGGCCGGGAACTCCTCAGGATAAAAGGTGAGCTGTGCTGCCTGCTTCTCGACTCCCTCTCTAAATGCAGTCAGAAGCAATCAGCAAATGCGATCATCATTGCGAAAGTATATATAGAGAGATGACTAAACAGCTTCTCCCTCGCTGCTGCCGAGGCTCTCCCTGCCTCTCTGGCCTGGGCTCGCTCCGCGCTGCGCCCTCCCCTTCCAGCGGCGCTCGCAGCTTCCCCTCGCTGCCCAGCCCGGCTCGGCACGGCCCCGGGCCCGGGTCCGCCGGGCGGCCGCGGCCGGGCTGAGCCGGGAGCGGGGGGCTCCGGGCAGCGGAGCGCGGCTGGAGGAGGGCGGTGTGCGCTGACGGAGCAACTGGAGTCGTTAAATACGCGCAGAGCCGACCCTGCATGCTAATGTGCCAAGGGGGAGATGCAGGGGGGATGCACGGGATGAACTTCGCGGCTCTGTCGCGGAGCGCCCTGTGTGCCCCTCCTGGCTCCCGCTCAGACAGGGCAGGAGGGATTCCTTCTGCACAAGAAAACTAGCTGTTCCTCCAGCACCACAAACCTCCACCCAACACCTTGGCCAGGGCGAGAGGCTACATTCAGGAAGAAAAAGAAAGCATTTGGATTTAAACCGATCTTTCCCTGCCTTCTCCCTTCTTCCTTCCCAGCACCTTTCCCTTTCCCCCTCGTCCTGCCGCTCTGGCTTGCCCTGCTCCTGGGCAGCTCTTACCAGTCCTGTCTCCACACCGCCTCAGCATCCCTTTCATCCCCGCTCAGAAGTTGGGCTCGGCACGCTCCGAGACCCGGCAGCCTCGCTCATTTATCCGTTCGCTGTCGAATCTCCATTAAGTAAATAACCACGAGCCCGAATCAGAGCGAGCCAGCCTTGCCCAGCTCTGCCGGGCAGCTCCCGGCGGTGGCTGAGGCGCCGCAGCGATAGTTGATGACTTCCATAAAGTCACAGCAATACGCACAGGAGCGAGCGGGGCTCGGCTGCCTCGCCATCGCCTCCTCGGCGGCTCGGCACCGCACCTAGCGCCGGCAGCGCGGGGCTGGCACCGACCGTGTGGGGCTGCCACGGGCCGTGCGGGGCTGGCACCGACCGTGCGGGGCTGGCACGGGCCGTGCGGGGCTGCCACGGGCCGTGCGGGGCTGGCACCGGCCGTGCGGGGCCGGCACCGACCGTGCGGGGCTGGCACCGACCGTGCGGGGAGCAGCTCCGGAGAGCGGGGCGAGGCGTGGGAGCGGCCGGGGGCATCCGCTGACCCCGCCGCCCCCGCCCCGCCCGCAGGTGAACCCCCGGGGCCGGTGTGCCCCCCATCCCCGGGCCGGTGTCCCCCGCATCCCGGGGCCGCTCCCTGCCGCCCCCCCGCCCTCCCGGCGGACCCACTCACCTCCGCAGGGCGCTCCCGGCCGCGGCCGCCCGCCCGGTGCCTCCGCGGCCATGCGGCTGCCGGGAGCGGAGCGCGGGGCTGCGCGGAGTGCGCGGGCGCGGGGCGGCGGCGGAGGCCGGTGGGGAGCGGTGGGGAGCGGTGGGGAGCGGTGGGGAGCGGTGGGGAGCGGTGGCAGCGATGGCAGCGATGAGAGGACGGCAGCGATGGGAGCGGTCGGCCCCGCGCGGCGGCGAGAGGAGAACGGAGAGCGGGGAGCGGCGGGCCGGGGACAGCCCCGCGCGGAGGGGCGGCGGCGCGGGCGGGGGGCGGCGGGGGCTCCCCGCGCTCGGCCGCGTCCCCGCCCGCCGCCCGCCCGCAGAGCCGCCGGCAGGTGTCACCCGGAGCGAGCGGGCGCGGCTCCCGGGCGGAGCGGAGCGGGAGCGGGGAGTGGGTGCGGGACCCCCGGGCGGAGCGGAGCGGGAGCGGGAGCGGTGCGGGACCCCCGGGCGGAGCGGGCGCTGGGCACGGGGAGCGGTGCGGGACCCCCGGGGCAAAGTGGGCACTGGGCACAGGGAACGGTGCGGGACCCCCGGGGCAGCACGGGCCAGGGGTGGCCGGGGGCCGCAGCACCCCCGCAATGAGGCCCACTGCCCCCGCAGAGTCCCCGGGCCGGGGAAGGGGGGTGTAAGGAGGGTGCGGGGGCTGCAGGGGTTGCATTGTCAGGCGCAGGAGCTGCTCCTCCAGATGCATCACTGTGAGCAAGGGCTGTGTGCTGCGGGGTCCGATGTGCCTCTGGTGCCTTAAAATAAGGAAAACAGGGACTTGGTACAGTCAGCAATGACCAGGGGCTGTTTTCCAGGTGCCTTTCTACCCAGAGCTCTAAACCCAAGACCTTAAAGGAAAAAAAAAAAAAAAAAGACCTCAAAATCCTCAAGATTTCAACAAATCGATGATCCAGTTCTAGAAACTCGAAACTCTGAAACCAGGACCCTGATCATGGAATTATTCAGCTTGGAAAGGACCTCCAAGATCATGAAGTCCAGCCTGTGACTGGATCCTACCATGCCCACTAAACCAGACCACAAAGTGCCACATCGACTCCTTCTGGAAGACTTCCAGGGATGGTGACTCCACCACTTCCCTGGGCAGCCTGTTCCAATGCTTAAATAAGATACAACTGAGCCTCAACCTGATCCATCTAATTCAGGGTCTAATTTCTGATCATTCAATGTCATTATTAAAAAATAACACTGATTTCTAATAGCATTTGTAACCTGCATTAGTGTAGCAGAGTAGCTAATGAGTTCATGCACACACAGTGTATCATCTTTAGGTTTCAGATATTAAGAGTTGTGTGCTGGACACGTGAATAGTTTTGTGCAAAGTGAATCTTAAAACTTCTGTGGGAAACTTTCAGAGGCTGTAAGAATTTGAACATATCAAAGCATCCTGAATCCATCTTTATTAGATGTCTTCAGAGCTGCTTCCCACTTTCAAACCCTCCCTATATCTCTACTTGCTCTTTCCCTCTGCAGATGCTGAGAAGAAAGCAGAACCAGAAATGTCATTTGGCTTTTGCTGGTATAAGAGATTTTTCTGTGATTTACAGTGTCACCACTTCATAAAACTTCCTGACTCCTCTCTCTCTGGGGCGTGCTCTGGCCTCACTCTCTGCTGGTGCTGCCCTGGCTGTGATTCTGAATCGCTTTTCCCCCATGACTCGGCCCCTTTTAACTTCCCATCTCTATTAAAAAGCTAATTTGGGAACTCTTTTCAAATGCTCCCAATTTTGTATTTTTAAATAGAATATGAAAGTCAAAAGCAAGCTTGCTGCAGATAGTCTGAAGTGAAAATATTCCTTCTTCTGTCTTGATTTTTTTCATCGATATATTTTCTCTGTTTCTTTCTCTCTCTTCTCTCTTTAACTCTCTCTTCTTTCCATCTTTTCTTTTTGCTCTCTCATTCTGCCTTTTCCCTTCTCTCTCTTTTCTAGGAAAAACTCCTTAGGTTCTACTGCCCCACTTAGAGCTTTTATTAGAACTTTTTGAACAACTTTTTTTCATTCTACTACTAAGAAGCAGAACCTGCTGGTGTCAAACCACCAGAGAAATGATGGAATGAACTATTGTGGTTAAATATCAATATTAAATATAGTTCATTACTTTTTTCCCCTTACATTTTTTCTGTGTTTATATCCTGCGCCTCTGCAGTGTATTTTATTTATTGTGTTTGTTCTCTGCATTGGGTGCTACTCTGCATACATTCTGCATCTGAACACGCATTCACTGCGTGGCTGTGCTGCAGTTCTGCAGGACAGTTGCAGGAGCACAGCCTGCCTCAGATTCCAGCTCGCCAAAGCACCAGAGCTTTGTAGTCTGATTATGTCTTGTAGCTCGTGCCAGCAGCTCCCTTGCTTGGCTCCAGGCTGGTGAAAACACCTGCACAGATTAAAGAAAGGCCATTAACAGGATTATGTGAAGGAGTCAGTCTTTGTAACCTAAAATTAAATATGTGGTTTAGTGCCCTCGTGCCACAGGTCTGGCAAAGTCAGGAGTTCACGCCCCTTCCTCGTGTGTGTTCTGTGCAGAAAATGCAGTGTCTGCTTTAGGGGTGGAATCGGTCTGCACTAGGACAAATCTGAGTTTTCTTTGAGACAGAAAAAAACTGCCAAGAATTGGATTTGGATCAAATTTTTGTTGGCTTTCTTACAAGAAAAACCAAAATATTGACAATGAAAGTGTCCTTAAGAAACGATCTTTCATAATAAGGTTCTGCCTTAGTTTTATTGCAGGACCAGTATTGGGAATATTTTGTAGAGGTGTATGAACAATTAAATCCCAAATTCTCTCAGCATCCCACAGGAGTTTTCAAGGGGACCTTGTGGTTGGTTTCAAAACCCTGGAAGGGAACTGTGGCTCCTTGTCCAGCCCCTTTTGGAGCAGGATCCAGGATCCTGAAGGGTCAGGGGTGTGTTTGGGGTGCCCCGGGAGCAGTGCAGGATGCCCAGGGGTGCTGTTTGTGTCCCCGTGGGGTTCCCAGCCCCGTCCCTCACCCCAGGGTGCTGGATCCCACGGACAGCCCATCCCAGCCTGGCTCTGCAGCCCTGCCCTGCCCTGGCCTTCGAGGCCATCTCTGATTTACATGTGCTCACTCGTTTCCCCCTCTGTGTCTGGAGGTTTTCCAACCCAAAACAAACCCTCACAGGCAGCTGCATTCTGCCACTGTTTCCTAAAAGGAGAGAGGAAGGAGCCGTGGATGGGGTCCAGCAGCAGCAAAGCCACCCAGCAGCTGCAGCGTTTTCTGCTCTTAATGAATCTGCTGCTGTTAATGAATCAGGACAGGGTGACAAGTGGGGGAGCAGAGCGACACCAAGTCAGAGCCGTGACTGAATTGTCCTCTGTCCTCTGTCCCCTCCCATGCACCCCATGGCCCAGGCCCCTTTCCCGGCCAGTTCTGGTGTCTGACAGCCCAGGCAGGATTTACACATTGCTCTGCAGCAATTCCTTCTGCAAGATCTGCTTCCAGCCACTTGGGAATTCTGGTAATTATGAGCCAGCCCAGGCTAAAAAGCTCCGAAGTGAGCAGAGCACAAGGCAGGAGCTCTGCTTTGATCTCACACTCTGAGTTAACCCGTCACCATCAAAGCCATCATCCTCAGCTGCTGCAAGGGCAGAGCCCAATTAAAGAATAGCAAAAACCCCCCAACAAAGCCCCAGCCAACCCTAAATAAGTGATCAATGTGAAATTATCAGCTTTGGAATGATCACCGGAGCCCGAGTGATGCCGAGGATTTTGCTGCCACAGTCAACAACACAATAAATTGGAATTGCAGTTTTTTTGTGCCCCAAAACCAGTAAATCAGGTCTGGAGAACTATACATTTACTGCAAATTTAAGGAGTTGTTCTTTCATTTTTAAGAGTGCATTTTAAATCAAGTCAACAGCCATAAAGCAATATACAGCCTGCCTAACTATTGTCTGGGGAATGAGTCCTGTACTATCATCATTCCTTTTTATTATTATTACATGGGGGGAAGGGAGAAGAAATTTGGGAGTGAGATTGTCCATGTTCACCCACCAGGTGAGCCTGGACCTCCAGACATAGACAGGTTTTTCCCAATATTTCCTAATGTTTGGAGTGGATGGTCCCCACCCATTGCTGAGGAAAAATCCCCAAGAGGTGAATTTAGCCCCAAACCAATTTACCATACCAAACTCCTCTCTATATATGAGAATTCTGATAGGCAGAAATACATTTATTCCTTTATCTTGGAACAGATTAAAAATAACTTCACCTGCAGACAATTCTATAACTAGAATTCAAGCTTAATCTGATTTTTTTTAATACTGAATCTAGTAAGACCATTATTTCTGCAGGATGTAGTCTCCCAGCTAAAGGGAAGGTGCATCTGTGTGTCATTAAGGGCTAACCTGAAATTCAGATCTTAATTCTCAGTACAGACCTTTGAGAGAGGAAGGGAGCTTTTGTTAATGCATTAATTTAAACTTGCTCACAGCAGCACCAGTAGCTGATAGCTTGAAAGTAAATTCAGTTAGTATTTTTGGATAGTCCAGAGCTAAAGGAAGCTCTTCATGAATGGAAAATATCTCATCTAAGCCTCTCAATGGCTCAAAAGGGATATTTATGCAAACATCTGTCTGAGCAGGAGGTGTTCTTGCTCCTCATGTAAAAAGACACAACTGTCAGGCTTGTTAGGAAAATGTGTCACATCCCCCAGAATGCAAGATTTCCTGGTGTTGAACGATGTTACCTTCATTGCAGGCTAATCAACTCATATTGGCAGGTCTTGTTAAAGACAACTGGGTTTGCTCATGGCAGACTTCAGGGAAATGATTGGTAACTCTGGGTTTGCACCGGGGAGAAGATGGCAAATCAAAAGAATGGGATTTTTCCAAATCACTGTGCTCATGTTTCTGAGCAGGAAATCCTCTGGAATGGAAACTCATATTGCGCACCCAGGAATGAGTTACACCAGCTCCATTTTCAATTAGGTGAGATAACCTTTATTGTTGTAGCTGAATGCTCAGATAATGTATTTCCCAAGCCTGTGTACGAGGAAGAACGTGCAAAGCCCAGCACAGGCGGGGATGACAGAGCAGGACAATACAACCAGCTTAAATAGAAATACAGCACATGTTGAAATGGCCAACAATAAGTCCATGTAATAGCATTTGAATGGAGTTCCATCCAAATGATGGCTTTGCTCTTGATGAAATGGCTCAATTTATGCCACTTCTTGTTTGGAGATCTCTGAGTTTGCAGACATTGTTCTGCTTCTCAGACTGAGAGAAGCAGCTCTTTATTTCTATCGATGGCAGAAATGGAGGCAGATAAAATTCCTTTTTTTCTCAGTTTTCAAAGTGTTTGAGAACTTTTCCCCACAGTTTATTTGTTGCAAAGGTTCATTGCCTGGGATGCGACCTTCATCTGCATGAGGAAGCTGAGGAACAGGGTTGAATCGTCCTGGAGGAATGACACAGGTAATTAAGAATTTGGGGCTGACAATTCCTTTGTTGCTATTGCAGACAGCAGCAGAAAGAAAGGAATTAATTTATTATCTATTATCCATATATTAGAGATCCAAATGATCTGTGCCTCCTGCCCTGGCTGTGCTAGGGGCTGGAAGCAGGCAGCGCTCTGTGCAGGCACTCGTGGGCTCAGGATCAGACCCTCAGGTGTAAAGCTTACTGAAAAGCAAGATAAATATTCATGAAAGGTCTGATTTTATGTGACCTGCTTTCCACCTGAGCCGTGATCCAGGCTGCTGATCCGAAGAATAGATTCTGATTTCCATCTGATAAGGCTTACCTTTTTTGGCAAAGGGAGGCTCAAAAATAATCCTTCTCTGAGCAGATAAATCATCTAAAGCGCTCAGACAGACAGGCCAAGGTAGGGGAAATGTGCTGGCCAAGCTGCTGTGATTGCTGATTGCAGGAGGAAAGTTCTGGGGCAGGGTCCTGGCAGGGGCTGGGCACAGCTGCCCCGGGCACTCAGCCCTGCCGGGTTCTGGCTCTGCGCAGCATCCAGAGATCCTCAGCCCGGGTGGGAAAGGAGGATCCTCGGGCTGGCCAGCCAGGGGAGTAAACAGGCTCTGAGTGCTTCGCTGGGCTGTAGCCAGGGCTGGCTCTGAGGGATCCCAGCCCCGCTAAAATGTGGATTTTAGACCCGGCCGACAACGAAAGGCATCACTCGGACCTGCTGCTGCTGCTGCTGCTGTGCAGTTTTGTGCCAGGGGCTCCTCGGGCAGCTGGGTGGAATCAGCTGCAGCCCTGCCTTGGGAAGAGAGGGGTCCTGATTATTTACTAATTAACCCAGAGCAAGCAGTCCCAGGACAAATGTTCATTTCAAATGGCTGGAGGCTCACAGAGCAAGGGAGGCCAGAGCCCTTCACACCCTCGAGACTTTCCCTTGGCTCCTCCTGAGGGACCCTGCAGGAGAACAGGTCTGAAAAACAAATTCTGCTGGCAGGGAAAACAAACATTTGCAATTCCAAACAATAAAATGAAACCAGGCAGTAAGCAGGACTTTGGGTTGTAATTAGTGCTGGAATGCTGTCTAAAGCAGTGCATGCATCACTTCCTGAGCCCCTGGCTGCTCGAGGCACTGGGATCACACTTCCAGCACGTTTCTCTGAACACAGAGCGTGCAAGGGCACGGCAGCAGATCTCTGAGTCCTGGAGCAGCAGATCTGAGTCCTGGGGCAGCAGCAGCAGATCTCCCTCTGGAGCAGGAACAGATCTCCCCCTGGAGCAGGAACAGATCTCCCCCTGGAGCAGGAACAGATCTCCCCCTGGCACAGCAGCAGATCTCCCCCTGGAGCAGCCCCTGCTCTGACTCACTTCCATGGAAACCCAGACATGGCTTTAGCAGTTCTTGCAGGGCAGCCCTAGTGCAGAAGAGAATTTGGCTCAGGACTGGTCAGTCCTGCTGACAGCCCTGCCCAGGGCTGCTAAATGAGCCTTTTTCTCATCAGCAACCTAAATTCCAGGAGTTTTCACAAGTGCTACAGTAACAAAACATGCTATTAAAAATGAGTAATTATGATTACCACTTCCTGACTTCTACTCTTTGCTTCTTCTCAGGAACAAAAGTAGGGGTGGAGAATTCTTATCTGACCTTCAGACAGAAAGATAAGATGCACAGCCACAAAAAAT